CCCGAAGGCAATCGCTTCGATTGTCCGTCGTTTATTCGAGTTCCGGCACGCGCATATACACGCAGAACTTTCTTTTCTACAAAATTTTACCCTTTATCTGCGATCGGAAACCGGAGATCTCGCGGTAGGCTCGCGCGCTCCGATCCTCCCCGGAAGAGAAACAAAAGTCATCGTGTCGGCCTAAAAAAAAAACGGAGGGTCACTACTCGGTAAATTCGCGGCGGGGACCTGCCTTTTCTTCCCCCCGGGAGGAGATTCTCCACCGAACGGTTTTTTATCCCGCGCTCGCGCGATTTTTCACGACGCACTTGCTGAAACGCATCGTCATCACCATCATTATCATGATCATGGTCATTATCATTATCATTATCCCGTTTTCCCAATCGATTCACCCCATCATCGCATCCACCGATCGCGATCACTGTCAATCGCCGGCGGTTTGAAAAGACTGATAGCGTTAAAAAAAAAAAGAAAAAGAAAGGAAGGATGATTCCCGCGCGATCGTCATCGTTTCTCCCTGATAGCCTTGCTGGTATCTCGGAACAAGAAATTAAATCAGGGGAATCGCGATCACGTCGTAATTTCGGCGAGTTATCTTAAATTTGCTGGTGCTGTATACGAATGATGGAACGAATTAGCGTCGTTTTCCGTAATCGTTTCGCACATACGCGGAGATTATATAATTATACTGGTTTTTCGCGACGGAAAAAAAGAAAAAGAAAACGGACAGGCAAGACCGAATGATACACCTCGTCTCGTAACCCCGCAAGAATTCTTGCGCGACACGTCGAAAGAGCAAAAAAAAAACAGAAGAAAAAAAATTGCCGGGGCCTCGACGGCGCGCGTCGTCGGTGGCACTTTCCGCGCGATCGCGACGAACAACGATGATCCTCCACGGCGCGGCGCCGCCGTGCCGCGCCACTCGGAAACACTATTACACTTCCCTACTTGGAAACGTCGAATTATTATCCGAGGAGGGGGGGGGAGGGGGGAGGGCGAAACACCCCCGCCGCGCTGTCGCTTTAATTAACGAAGAGGGAAAGAAATCGCGAGAGGGATGACTTACAAGTGGATCGACGATCCGCTCGACGAGGCCGTCTATACAAACTCGAATAGAGATGAGGAGAAAGAGGAAGAGAGCAAGGATAAAGAAAGGAGGGGGAGGGGAAGTAAAAAAAAATCGTACTCACGCATACCATTTTACACACATGTAACACGCGCATTAACGAATAGGAAAAAAAAAATGATAGTCTACTGTGCTGCATACGTATTTAAATTAACGGAGCATTAAGTAAGCATGGGTGTGCATCTTAGATGTATTAGAGAACCTTCATCACCACCATCACCATCACCACCACCATCACCATCACCACCACCGTCACCGTCACCGTCACGCGTTTAGTGTTAATTATCGAAACGTTACTGCAGAGCGACGATATGGCAGGGGATGGCGATGGGAGAGGATGAATCGCGCGCGACGATTAGGATCTTCCATAGCCGTAGACTTCTTGCGTTTTACGTACGTTACCGGCGTCCAAAAAAGAATCGAACGAGTTACCGTTGTAATTAATCGTTATTGAAAGAGACGAGAGCAATCCGAGCAATTCAAACGCGCGGATCCACCTCGTGGATCCTTAGAGAGAATGAAAAAACGCCGTCTGTGAACGACTCACGGAAGCTAGCGATAAAAAAACATTTCAGATCCACGAATCTTTCGGAATATCCGGGAGATCTTAGTGTGTCGAGAATTTCTTAATTAAAAAAGTTTACGAGTCCGAGAGTATCTAGATTCAAAAATTCAACGATTACTGGGATTTTTGGGGAAAATCTTGAGCGTCCCAGGCTAGAAAGAATCTAAAAAGTCGCGTTTACGTTCGGCCACTGACACTCTTCGTGAAAAAATAATACGATTCTTTTTGGACGCGTAATATTCGTTGACGATGATTTCGAGCACTTTAGTTAACGTAGGTGTACAGTCATTATACTTATTACGTGTTTCGCAGTCCTTGTACAATAACGAGTGTACCTCTTAGCGCCACCAAGAAGACGATGCCGCGTCCTGATACGTCGATGCGTTTCCAGACACCACGATCAGGACGCTCGATCGTCACAACTCGGTCGTTCTATCGTTATCATCATTCAGTTTCCAGCGAACTGGCCGACGCGACTTCGCGCCACTGATAACAGAGCGTAAAAGCCTTCGCTGTGAAGGATATACAATTAAAAAAAAAAAAGAAAGAAACAAGGACAAGCGAACCTCTCCCTCGTCTCATCCCCCCCCCTGGTAAAAACAAACTCGCTGGGGATAAAAATCGTCGCTTTCATTTAATCTCACAACTGTGTTTCACACGCGATTCAATTGCGAGTGCGGTTCCCACTGACGGATTGTAATGTATGTATAATTTTTCAGACGCGGTTACGAAGAAGACAGCGTAAATTGTTCATTATTTCGTCGTTGTATTATGTATTGTTTATATCTCTCGACAGAGTACCACGTATATACAATAATAATTATAATAAAGATCGACTAGTGTATTTCGAATCCGACTGACAACAATTAAAGAATTAAATTGACACGTGCGTCTCTTTTTGTCCTATGAATTCTCCTCTCCAGTCACCAGATAATTATTTCTACATTTAATTTTAATTATTAAAAATCATCGGCACAGCAAGCGAAAATAATCGCCAGAAGTTTCGAAAATTATCAATAGGACATCCTTCCGTCGAATATCACGCTATCATACCTAAGTATTCAGAACTGTGCAAAATAATTAATTGTTGCAATTTTGTCTTGAAACGCTATATAATTATGAAATTGACTTAGAATTAACGGGAGCACTTGACAGATGTCATAATATTTAACAGCATATAGTATTATAGAGGGAAATGTGCTGGAACGTGAAGTTAGCACATCATTTCTTTTTTTTTATTATTATTATATTAAAAATGCCGAACATTTCTTTATATTTATCAGAAACAGTAGAACTGTGGAAAGTGCTACTGGAACTATCATTGTTTTTTAAAAATTAACAAAATGTTATGCTAACATAGGCACTACGGAACAATAGAAAACGTTTCCATTCGTCGCTTTCAGACAAAAATTAATGTAAGCGAAATATAATAAAAAGAGAAATCCTTCCAAAGACTTGTATATTCAAATAATTAAGGCTCGTTGCGGAAATATATAGTTTCGTCGAAACCAAAGGGGCGCGCGCGCGCAGTTTAAAGGATTAAACGTCCGTGCAGGGCGCGTAATCGCATTTTTTGACTTTTCGTTCCCTTCGATTGCGATTTTATTGCGTGTCTGGAAGAGTACGCCTCGGTCGCCGGGATAACGAGATTCGCGTGCGATTCGCTCGTCGCGCGTTTTTTTGCATGAAAAAGAAAGAGAAGTGGGTGGAAAACAGAAAAAAAGAGAGGGGAAAAGGAAAGGGAACGTAAGGGCAGATGTGCGCGCGTGGTTTTATTCCATAAAAGGCGAACTCACACGGAACGAAACCTCGTCTCCCCCCCCCCTCACCGGTTCGGGGCGCGGGGCTAATTGTTAATTAAGACGCGGATTGCCGTGCGGATTGACAATTTGCAATTGTAAAATCCGTTCCTCGCGCGTAATCTCGTTCCCGCGTGTATCCCGCCCGAGCGAATCTACCCGCCCGCCCGCCGCCGCGTTTCCAATCGCATCGAAATTGTTTCGCAAAGTACCGCTTCCACGCGCGGAAAAACGAATTTCGAAGAAAAGTTTCAGTACGAAGTGCGCGGCGGCGCGGCAGCGGTCGGAGGCCGCGAGGCGTTGCGTAAAAAACTTCGGAGAACGTCCTAACGTGAATTGGGAAAAAAGAAATTCACGAAGAGCGAAATTCGTTTATCGGACTGAAAATTACAATAAAAATATGTATACATCGCGCGCGCAAATAGATAAATCGTATAATTTGATAATCGATTTGTTCTACGAAAAGCGTAAAAAATTTTCTAATTTGTACGACTTATTTCCAATTCGTTGCGTGTTTTTTTTTTTAGCAGACATGTAGTTTTCTGAATAAATATATATTTTTCTAAGGGGGGGCGGGCATAATACATTCCTCCCGCGCAATTTCTTCCCGGCGGAGGGAAGATTCCTTCCGTCGTTCGGACAGGCTACGAAGTATATAAGAAATAATGTGAAGTAGGTCAATCGTATTTTAAGTCGGCGAAGTCTATACACTTCGATGAGCGGGGGCCAGCTGCAGCCTGAGATAAGAGGCGTCGCCCACGTCACGCTTCTCCCATGAAACGGAAAAGCGGAAAATTTACCCCCCATAATTCCCCCGGAGTTTAATCCACCCTCCTCCCTCATTCTTGTACTCTCCGTATAAATTTCGCGCGCCCATGCGACACAACGGCGAGATATTAATTAATTAATCGACGAAGAATCGATTCCCTTCTTCACAAACTCCATCTTTCTCTCCCTCTCTCTTTTCTTTCTCATTTTACTATAATTTAAATCGTTGTTTACCTTTAAACTTACCTTTAACTGTTGTTTCAATATTTATTTTTATCTTCTAAATTAAACTTTTATTTTTTTGTGCAAATGAAATTAAACAAAAGTGATAAACTTTTCGCGAGACTTTTTTTCAGTACTGAAATCACGCGACCAAGAATCTCCAAAAAAAGTTCCAGAAGTTTCCGTGAGAGAGGAAAATCGAATGAGAGAGAGAGAGAGAGAGAGAGAGAGAGAGAGAGAAAGAAACAAAGGGAGAAGTGAGTTAAACACTCGCGAAATAATCCACTTTCTATCACGCCAAACCGATTCGATTGAAACCAATCCGATGGCCCGTATCGGTGGGCGTTCTGATTTTCGTTTCACACCCCTGTGAACCCGTTGCCATTCCACCCCCATACGAGGCCAATGCGAGAGGGGAGCTTGGCGCGCTGTGGAGCAGCAGGTAAGGACCGCGTCCCAGTTTTACGCTAGCCATCAGGACTACTAGTGCCCGTCGGAATATACAATAATAATAATAAATAATCGTTACAATTGCATTAAAAAAAGGAAACAAACGAAAGAGATTTCGTTTCGTAGCAAATCTCGCGTGGTATCGTTTTAACGTTCATCTCGATTTGAATAGATTTCTGAAATCGGCAAAGCAGTAATTCAGTTTAAAAGGAAAAAAATTAGTTGGGCCATAATTAATTCAATAATTCAGATTTCATATTACAAAATTAATATCAATTAATCGTTAACATACATCTATTCGTTGAGCCAATTTAAAATTAAAATATCTAAAATTCAAGAATTTTCGTGAAAAAGAGGGAGAAAATAATTGATCATTCAATTCTTTGGAAATATCAATTGAGTTTGTCATTATGACGAATGCGAGTGACGACGCGATCGCCGCCGCGGACTCGTCGAACAAGTCCGTGGACCTCGCGCGGAAGGAGCTGGCCGCGATCCTGGGCAAAATAGACGACCTGAGACTTCCGGCCAAGGTCTGGCGGCTGCTGCGCGCCCGTTCGCGACTGCGACCGACGAAACTGATAAAAGTTCGCGCGTGGCACCTGTGGCTCGTCCTGCTGCTCGCCACGTGGCTCGCGGTGCAAGTCGCGTGGACTTACGTGTTGGCGTATCGATACAGCAAGGTGAGAAAGACACGAATTCCATCGTTGTTCGATAATTTACTTCTATTTCGACGTCGATACAACGTTCCTTCCTTCGTTGTGAAATGGATTAAAATTGAAATTATCTAACTCCGTATTAATCCCTCGATTAGACGTCGCTTCGATGTGGAATGGATTAAAACTAAAATTATCTAACTCTATATTAATCCCCCGATTAGATGTCACGTACTATAGATATCGCGAACTTTATTTTCACTTATCCAGGTAAATTAATAATCACACTTGAGACGACAAAACTTAAACGACGAAGCTTACGTTCGGTCGATCATAATCGCGATTAAAGATAAAAGTTCCAATTCAGAATTTAAGAAGAATTAATTTTTTTTTGTTAGAAATTAATCGCGCCTCGTTGAGTCAAGTGGGCCAGTTGACTGAGCGAATCGGTTGTTTCAGTGCTGGATAACGACGCCCTCGTTTGTGCAAAAACTTTTCCGACCGCCGCAGGACTGCTCGATCTGCCAGGATGTTCAACAGGTTGACAAACTCTCCGCCGTCGATCCGACGATCTTTGAACAACGGTACTAAAACGCGCGACCTGCGTATTATTGGCTCAGCTAATTCATACGCGGCATTCATTCCATTTCCGAGAGAGAAATATCACTCACGTCGGTAACGGCACACAAAAAAAAGATTCGTTTATTCCCAACTAATTTACTTATGGCATAAAAGTGGCATAAATCTCTAAAATTTTTCAAATTATATTTCGATTATCCACTTGCAAAAATCTCGCTAATTACTAATCTTGTTAATTTACTTATCTGCTGAAAATGGCGAAATATGTCGAAAGACCCCATTTAAAACATCATTTATAAGAAGAAAAAATATTTGCCTATTAATTTGTTTATTTAACAACAATATTTTTGCTAACAATAATCTTATTTCTTAAGAACCAATTCACCTCACCACTATTTAAAAGAAGGGAACTTAACGCTGTAAATTCTTCTAATTATAAGAATTAATTTATCACACCCTGATAAATTTACAGTCATACTTGCTCGAGGACTTCACGCTTGCAATTTAATTATTTTACACTCATTTGCGAAATGTTCAGCAATAATATCCCCGCGTGAGCAGCTTATAACGATTCGGTATCTCTCCACGATTGTACTTTACTTGTAATCAGCTACGCGTATTCAGGGAAGCCGGTGGTGATAAGCGACGCGATGGCCAACTGGACGGCGCCTAAGGTGTTCTCCTTCTCGTTTTTCAAAACGCTCTACCGCGGGGAGGAGGCGAGCTGCCAGTTCTTCCCGTACAAGACGGAATTTCGGAGTCTACAGGACGTATTCGACATGAGCGCCGATCGAGCCATGATGGAAAAGGGCACGATGCCGTGGTACGTCGGCTGGTAAGTGACTCGGCATCGCGTTTAATCCTTGGACCCGTAGAGAAGGAACTAAAGCTCTTGTAATACTGGATACGCATTGGAGGTTGAGGATTGCGAATTGGAAATTAGAATGATTGTCATCAGCCAATCAAGAACAAAACGGATTATTGGAATTAATATCTGACTTGTCAAATTCTACACTGAGAAAAAAATTGTTTTGAAATAACTAAGTGGCGTTTTATTGACAGTTTTTCTTTAATTCAATTATACAATGCTTTTGAGTTAAACATATGAGTTAATATATTTTTGTTAAATTAACAAATACTTGTTAATTCACAAAAATATCATTAATGTTGTTGATGTATGTTTAACTCAAAAGCATTGTATAATTGAATTTAAAAAAAACTGTCAATAAAACGCATTTAGTTATTTCAACAATTTTTTTCTCAGTAAGTAATTATTTGACAGCCCATGACTGCCATGTATAGTTGAATGAATTAAGAAATATTTTTTTATTTTACATTTTTTTCTTTCACCATTAGTGTAATCTCCAATTTGCAATCTCTAATGTGTACAGTATAACGGGCTTGTGTAACAAGGAAGCTGTTGAGACTCCGCAGTTTCTTTTTCGTGATACTTTCGATACTTTAGATTTTTTTATTTCTCGTCGAAATAATTTTCCCTTCCAGATAATCTTTCGAGAAATCTCGACAACAGTCTTTCATGCTCAATCTAAAATTATCGGAATCATTTCGTTGCTATTCGAGTCCTCGAAGATTATGAATTCGGGAGAGAGATAAATGCATTCATTTAACTTTCATTTCCGTTTCACGCGAAGATGAAGTTTAACAGATAGAATAAGTGCGCGACAAATGAGATTTTCCGGTGTAACAGAATCGATATAATGAAATTTCCTTTGAAACTCAAATGATAAAAAAAAATAATAAAAGTGGAAATTATTACGAGGAATTTAACAAATTTTTCAAATTGCAGTGAATTAATAATGAATTTTTCATAAGCTCCTTACGACTGGCGTACAAGCGAAACGCTTGTCATTTTTAAATGTTATTAACAATTATAAATTTCATTATCGGAAAATCATCGCGTTCGCAACGACATTAAAATAATCGCGAGCGTGGATAAATCAGCGGGTCGCGCAAAATGTAAATGCACGACGGATTCGCTCGCCGATCGACGCCGCGCCGCGCCGCATTCCTCCGCGGGCGCCGTCCTGCACGCGCGCATAATTATCGAAAATACGGGGGATATCAATTTTAAATTGATATCCCGCGCGCGGACGACGGGAATAAATAACATTTCACTCGCGGACAATTCGTAATTGTCATTTTTCCGTTTTGTTCAATGCACCGCGGAGAGGCGGAACGCGAGACGAATGCCAAAGCGATCGCCGCCAATTATTATCGCGCGCGCGACGACGGGCGGCCGCGCCGCGTCGAATCGTCGCGGGCAAATTAAACAAACAACTCATGTAATAATAAACGATTTTACTCGCCGATCGCGTGATTGTCATTTTTTTTTTGTTCAAACCGTGCATGCATGTATGTACTTAATTAACGCAACGACGCGACGCTCTCGCCCTTTTCGCAGCGGCACTCCCGACGATTATGCTCGCGACACGCTCTAAACAATCGCGCGACCCTCGTCCGATACTCGCGGCAGTAGTTTGACATTTCGACAAATTTAATTAACGAGCAGACAGCTAATAATAAAATATAATAAATTCACGGTTAATTAACGCGACGTGGGTAATAATGTACGTTTATTCTTTACAGGCGCTCCTCGTAACGATGAATTTTTAATTAGATGTAGCACACAGGGTTTCGATATTGCAAGGATGCCAAAATTCGCCAACTCTATTACGTACAATGTGACGATCGTCCGATACTACACGCTTCTCTCGGCATTGTCGATACTACACGCTCGTTTCACGCGATATTTAGTAACGAAAAAGTCCAGTTTAAATAATCCATAATTTACGACATCAGGATAAAATTCTATTTATGACTACATCTCTGTCGGGTATTATTCGAAATATACCCTCGTATATTTAATATATATTTTATGTAGATCAAGATATGTATTTTCTGATTCTTGAAATATTTTTCGTACTGCACGACACGTAAAATTATAAATGAATAAATATAAATTTTTGAATAAAATAAAAATAAAATTTTATCCTTAAATCTGGAACAAATTATAAATCATTAAAATAGGTTTAATTTCGTAGGCATAGTTAAAATAGATTTAATTCAAACATGATAAGACAAGAGATTTTTAACATTCAGATCATAGCATTAATTACAACATTAATTTCGCGATTTTAATCAAGAGATCGACTACAGCAAATGATCGCGGCAAATGTAGAAAATGCGATCGCAACCACAGCTGATTATTATCCGAGATAACTACGAGTATTATTCGACGAAACTACCCGCCTAACCCGCGCTGATCGATCGTGGAAATTCCACTGTATGAGTTGTACTACGATCGCACGGAGTTCACTTGACGGAACCGTCGGGATATTCTACGATAATTGTCTGGACTTCCGTAAATCGTACGAAGTATCGACAATCGAAATAATCACGACGATATTAAATCCATTTTATATAGTTTGCAATTTTGATTTCTGATTAGAATTCTAATTACGATCTCGTATCAAATTTTAATTATGTATTTGATTATTGCATTTTAATTATATTTTACATATATATGAAATATATATTAAAACATATATTCATCATAAATAAAAAAAATATATTAAATATGTATTACTTTGAAATGCTTTCGTATTAAAATTATCAATACAATTCTACATATTTCGATTTATGACATGAATATAAGTCGTCCAAAAGGGATTTTTTTCTGCTATACAAGAGTGCGTTTAGATTTCCCGCTAGATATCATTTTATCTTTGAGATATCTTTGTTTAACTTTTAGTGAACATCAAGGATAAAATGATACTTGCACCCAGATGAGGAATTTAAACGCAGCTCAGATGAACGAAAAATCAGGATTACTTGAATTCAATTATATACAGCTTCGGCACTTTGCCCGAATAAATCGCGTGTGAGAAATCAACAGTCGAGGTAATAGATTGGAAATACATTCCCGATGAGTATGACGTTAGATGCAGCGCGGGTCGTCGTCAAGATTTCGCGAGGATCCGACGACAACTTTACGTCGACGTTACTGCGGAACTTCTCATCGCGACCGTCGAGATCTTGATCATTGTTTCGATCGACCGGAAGATCCGCGCTCAAAAATGGCATGCCTATCGCGATCATTAAAAAATTTTAGACGAATTTTTCAACAAATGAAAAACTCTTGTCAGCCCAGCGCCCAATTACGACTATCTTATTATATATATTTGTTTTCATGCAATATTTATTCCCTTGAAAGGCTTAGGAATACAATTCGAATACGATAAGGCGAATGATTGTTGGAGAACGGGATGATTTTTTTATTCCTGTGATTAGCATGATTACTTACGTTCAGTAGCGAATTTCTGGTCTCATTGGGCGAACGTGTGGAATCTTGAAGCCTCCTAAGGATCTCCTAATCACTGCACTGCTTCTGCACCGCGTTTATAGTACTCGTGACACACTTTGTTCGAATAAATCGCGTGTGAAAAAAATCAACAGTCGAGGTAATAGATTCGAAACATTCCCGATGACGTTAGACGCAGCGCGGGCAAGATTTTCCGAGAATCCGATGGCAACTTCTTAAGGATCTCCTAAATCGAGCTTAATCTCACTGCACTGCTCTATGTTTATGGTACTCGCGACGCACTTTATCCGAATAAATCGCGTGTGAGAAATCAACAATCGAGATAACAGATTCGAAATAAGTGCATGTACATTCCCGATGACGTTAGACGGACCGTCCGCGTCAGCAAGATTTCCCGAGAATTACAAAAATCCGACGACAACTTAAATTCATATCGCGCTACAACGAATATCGTAACCTCTCTTCGTGACCGTCGCAAGATCTTGATCACAGAATTAAATTTTTTTCTCTACTTATGCTTATGTAATCGCTCAAGGATAAGTCGATTGTTTCGATCAACCGGAAGACCCTCGAGCCGGCGAAATTCGCGTTCCGGTAAATGGAACGATCGACCGGGGAGACCCGGAATCCGGACGATTCCGAAACGGGCGGCGAGCTTTCAGTGCTAAACAACGGCCAACTGCAATGCTACGTTTATCGACACTCGCGACGCACTCTGTTCGAATAAATCGCGTGTGATGAAAAATCAACAATGGGGATAATAGATTCGAAACATACATTCCCGATGACGTTAGACGCAGCGCGGACCGTACATACGTCGACGCTACCGCGGATTTCTAACCTCTCTTCGCGACCGTCGCGAGATCTAATTCGAAAATTCTCACTGGATATACTTATAATGCTTATGTAATCGCTCAATTCCTATCAATCAAATTGTTTCGATCGACCGGAAGATCGTCGAGCCGAGAAATTCGCGTTCCGGTAAATGGATCAATCGACCGAGGAGATTCGGAATCCGGACGATTCCGAAACGGGCGGCGCGGCGGCGAGCCTCGGCGAGCTAAACGGCCATAAACACGTCGTTCGCGGATATACACGTATACATCTATTGACGGAGCCATCGATCGCGACGATATATGGTAATTGACGCGCACACGCAATTAACTGGCCCCGGTCGCTAAATTCCCGCGCCACGATTCTCGCGCCCGACGCGAACTCCGACACGGGAAAGAGAGAGAAAGACGGCGCGCGCGACAACACGACGCTCCGTTTGCTCCGATCGCACTGAACTGGTGGTAGGCGCGGCGAGCGGGAGGGGGAGGGGGGCGCAAGCCCGAGGGCGACGAGGCGTGCGAATCAAAACAAAACAAGGCGGTCGCGCGCGCCTACATTCCGGGAATCGGCGTGTAAAATGTAAACTTGTAGCGTACGTGCCGTCGCGCGTGGGACAATATTTTTGAGAGAGAGATTCCTCGGGCGTTTATTCCAAGCGATATATATGTATTTTTTTTCCTGCGCGCTATTAATATTCAAACATTTGCTGTACGCTAAGTAAACCGGTCTTTTGTCCCCTTCTTGATTGTTTCATTGTTATAAATAATTGAAAGAAGCGGAAAATGGATTACCTCACTCATAACGGCGATTCTAGCTGCATTATTAGCTTATCTTCGTTTCGGTCTGTGTATCGATTGGCTTATTATGAAATTTTATGCACTTCTTCTCCCCCTCCCCTTAATTGTTGTTAATAGATAAAGCGAGAAAAGCATTCGGTTAATGATAATTTTCGCAGTATTATTGCTTTATTGTGCAGTCAGCGTGTGCCAATCGATTGATATAATATTAGATAAAGAAGAAATAATTATAGAAAGTAATTAGATTACATATCTCTTTACTATACTATTTTTCCGTCTGCCGGTTCTTATAAATGACGAAAGTGGAAGGTACCTTATCAATGACAATTTTCTCGGTATCATTATCTTATGTCCAGAGTCTGTCATCATTGATTAATATAATATTAGATGAAGAAGAAGTTATTAGAAAATATAAATGGCACTATAGAAAGCTGCACTTAATTGGCGTGGAAAAAGTCGTTGCAATTGATAATGAGCACTTGATATTTTTATTTTTAAATTAGAAACCTTCCGAACAGTTTTCTTAGATAAAAACAAAGAATATACATATGAAAGATTGAAAGAAGATTGCATTAAGATTACTTTAAAAATTATGTATATATTATTTTATATAATATATATGTATATTACACTAATATAATAATCAGACATAAGATTATATATCATATAATTATATATTAAATACATGTAAAAGGACATAAAATTATATTATTATATAATTTTTGTGCGGCACGCGTCCACACACACAAAGAAATAAAGAGTACAAAAATTTAACAACTACTTTGTATATTTATAACTGTGAATGAATGAATCGATATCCTTTTAAATGTCCTAATTCAATGTCCTTTTAGTAATAATATACTGATTCAAATAATAAAATTTTGCCTTTCATTTGATATTTATACTATTTGACAGTATATTATTACTAAATTACATGTGACGATCGTAGCGCAAAAACTACACGTCGGCTTTCTGGTGCCAGAGACCTAGGTTCGAATCCACCCCGAACAATTATAACTCTAAATCGACTGTAATCACGATTTGGAAGCGATCGTCACCTCTCGGCAAAGACAAAAACCACCGAGAGTAATTCTACCCAGGAAAGTCTCTTCTAATGAGCCGTCCGAATTAAAATAATTTTAAAAGTTAAAATATATTAAAATATATTATATAATGTCAATGTAAATAATAAAGCATTCGAGTAAATTTCGTTCTTTTAACTCAAATGACTAATCATATATTTTAACTTTTTTTTAGTTAAATTTACTAGTGGCGATCGTGGCGCGAGGAGCTGCGTGGCAGCTTTCTGTGCCAAATATCCAGGTTCAAATCTACTCAGAACCTATACTTAATTCTAAAATCGATTTCAATCGATTTGAAAGCGATCGCCATTATATAAGGCGATCTCGGAAGGCAATAACAAAACTGCACCGAGTATTTCTGCCAAGAAAACCTCTTCTAACTAGCTATTCGGACCCGACGTTAAAACTATAGTAGGTCCCATATGAAGAAAATTAGGTATTACTAAAAGGACCTTGTATATACACAAGATACGTGTCGTCTCTTAGAACGTACTCTCTAAAAATGCATCGCTGGAATCACTTTGTAGTGTATATGTTTTCTAGTTGGCACACTTATGACTGATATAATTATGATATATCATATATGTGTGATTATTACAGTTATAAGTAAGCCAATGGAAAATCATATACACTACAAAGTGGTCCCACCGATACATGTTTAAAGAATACGTTCTAAGAGACCCAACGTATTTTGTGAGTTAATTATACTTGCCTGCGAGTATTTTCACGGCTTCCGACACTCGCCTCGAATCACCAGCGTTCGTGTACGATTTCGTTAACAGGCTTACGAAGAAGATCCACACTACCATGCAATGTCACGCCGATCGAAAAATTTTTTGTCGACAGAAAATCTCGATGAGACCGATTGAATTTCGCATTTCCGAAAAATCGAACGGAAATCATCAGAGAGGAAAAAAAAATATTTTTAGCTTTCTCTAATTACCTTCTTACGTTCCATGATGCTTTCTCACGGTTTCTTTTTAACTCTTAGGAGCAACTGCGACGAGAAGGTCGGCGTAATATTGAGGCAGCATTATCAGAGACCGTATTTTCTTCCCGCTACTGCTGAAAGCAAGAAAACGGATTGGATTTTTATGGGAAGCAACGGCTACGGCGCACCAATGCATGTAGGTTCTATCGAAAACTACGTTAAATTTACCGAAGATACCGAAGATTACGTGAGATTTATTTCACTAAATAACAATCGTGTAACGCGACATTCTTTAATAAAAAGTGACGTCTGTCAAAATTATTTATTGACGTGCACAATATACTTTAATAAAAATTTATTAATAATTATGTGCCATATTTTTTCAACAAATAAATATATGTACATGCAGTAATTTACATAAATATCTCAAAATTTTGTATTTTATTCAATCAAATATTTGCAGATTAATTCAATCTCTGTAATTATTTTTATCTTGTTTTATTTTAATTTTAAAATAAATATATTTTAGTTATATTTATTGTAAATATATATTTAACGTTTAAATGCGCTCTTGTGCATGTTCAAGTATACAGACGATTGTCATTAATCGTACATTTTGAGAATATGAAATTTTTCAAGGTGGACGATGTGGATTATCCCTCCTGGCAGGCGCAGATAAAGGGTGAAAAATTGTGGATTTTAGATCCGCCGAGGGAGTGTCACTACACATGCAAGAGGCTGGAAGTGATTGTGCATGCCGGAGAGATAAGTGAGAGAGCCGCGTTCGATATACATGCCAATAAATAATGATCGAATTAATTGCAAAATTAATTGCTTCCCTTCCCCCCGTTTGGCGCTAAATGCGGCCTTCTGATCGACAGTCGCATTCAATGTTGTTTCGAATTGAGAATCAGCTCGGTCGTATTTAACGCTAAAATGCGGATACACTTTGTTTATGTCCTTGAATCACGGCGAAAGATTTATTTCCTTTAACGGTGTTTTAAATTGTTGATTTAATCTTTTTTCTCTCGAAAATAAATAAAAAAACTTTAGCAGAAGCCTTTTAAATAATTACGATCGCTAATAAAAATTTACTTTATAAATTACTTTTATCACACACTATATTGCGCTTTCCTCTCCTCGCGTCGTTCTGATAGCATTGTGATTTTTCAATTGCAGTCGTCTTGGATACGAATCGTTGGTACCACCAAACAAAAATCATTTCCGAGGACATGAGCATTACTATCGGAGCTGAGTATGACTGAAGCGGAGTAAAGTTTGATAGCTGACTTATAGCAGCAGATTCTCATTCGTTGCGTAACGACGAATGTGTTATAAAAAAGTTCCTGTATGCAAATGTATCAAATAATAAAATGTGATGAGAATAAAGTGCAGTGTTCATTTTATCATTATTCATAGAAAACTTGAAAAGAAGCAGTTGAAAGGAAGCACTCTAATTTATTTCGCCTCGATATTCTGACATTAATCATTCAATCTGTCGAGTATTAGAAAAAATAACATGAATAAATCCACGTATATAAATGTACAGATAAAAGTATGGAATAAAGTATAGAATTAAATGTATTATGAAAAGCGTGTAGAAAGAAGAGCATGTTAAAAAGTTTATCATTATTAAAACACTTCAGTTCTAAAAAGAAGCTGGACAATTTTACTTTATATACTTCGTAATCAATTATGTCATTTAAACTTATCTCTCCTTCATTGGATTTATAAAACATTTACATTTTTCAGAATAATAAATTGAATAACTTGAGAAACACCGTTTCAATTTTCATAAAGTATATTACAGAACTACAGCTTGAAGCTATTACTTGTTTGATAGAGAAAAAAAATCAATTTACTTCTAAAGTTACGCTTTTATAAAAATAATGAGTCATTCGAGAGCTCGCTCCATATCGCTTTATAAGTTAAGTTTTTATCATTCATATTTTCAACTCGAGCGAAACAGGACTTGTGACGGAGGTAACCCTATAACGCTCGGTTAGCCGCCGATACGCTCGTCCCACGGTGACGTATGCCCCACGAACGTGTGGTCGCGTGCTAAGTTTTACGGTTCTCCCCCGTGTGCGTGTGTACATGCGTGCGTGTGCGTGTGCCGCTAATCACGCGCTCGCACGAGGAAGGTAAAGGAGGAAACGGCCCCCGCGCACGGCACGGGCCCCTCATGCAGATGGCGAGCAAGCCGGGAGTCGCACCTGGCGGCAGGTGAGCCCCTACCGTGGGGGCTGCCCACCATTACGGGAGGGAAACGGGGAGGAGGGCGCGGGGGCCAATTCGAAGGGGATTCCCCGCTTGACTACCCTGTCGGTGCTCTAAACGTGACTCGGCCTCTGTCGCCTCATATAGCGATCATATGTTGGCCACTGACTGGCGTTGTTAAAAGGAAAGAGAGACAGAGAGAGAGAGAGAGAGAAGGGAAGAAGAAAAAGGGAAAGGGAGATCAACTGTTTCTTCGTCAAATCGAGAACTCACGGGATGATTGCACCTACTGAAAACTTCCACACAAATACAAACACATACATAGAGACAAAGTTTTTATAGTCTTTTTTTTATCTGAACGACAAAATATTTTGAAACGATGAAAAAGCCATCAGTAACACTAATGAAGAAACGCAAGTACTTGATTTTACTAATCATTAATGTTAATTTAAATGTTAGTTAAATATATATTACGTTTATTCTACATTGAATATTATTCTATTAATATATTGTAACTTTTTCTATTACATTTCTATTATATTGTGACTTACTAAATTATACAATAGTGTAAAAAATGATACATACTGTATTTAATTTTTTTAAATTAGAATTAACGCGTATTAATTAAAAAATATTATCTTTATTAATTTATATACTGAACGTAAAAGTGATATATGGTATGTATATTTAATTATCATAAATTGGCTATACTAAGATACTTTCGCGAATAAGTCTTATTAAACACAGTGTAAGACAATATTAAGTAAAATCAAATAATATTAGGACATAGACGGACGTGAAAAATTAATGCTACAATAAAATATATTATTTAGACGATTTCATTAATAATGATCGACTATTATCGTTAATAAAGTCACATAAATTCTAGCAGATTATGAAGAGAATGACGTTCCTCCTTAAATCATATTCGCGCAAAGTATATTCATTACATTTAATTACGTGGCTTGAGTTATACTTAACGACCAGTAGAAAAAAAAGTATATATTGTATTGATCGAATCAAAGTGTCATCATAATATATCAGAATTGAACAGATGATTAGAATGATAATAAAAAATTATTAACTTGGAATATATAATTTAAAAAAATATTAACTTAGAACATATGATTTCTTTACCCTTCTTGCCTTTCTGATTTGCTTTCATTTATAAATTTACTTATATGTATAACGAATCAATTACTATATTTATATAACTATTTTGCCATACAGATTACTATCTATCAAAAGATATAAACCGAAATTTACTGAATTATTTGTGAGATGTACTATTTCCATTTAATCTATTTCATAAAATAAGTGAGACATAAAATAAGTGAATAAACTTTCGGCGAAGTAAATTACGGAAGAACAAGTGAAATAAAATTTTCTCACTCAAAACGTGTAATTCATCTCGGATCCGCTGTTATTCTTTTCTTCTTTCATCCCGGACAGAACTGTTTGTACTTACGTGTCTCCAAAGTGATTATTAAGGGCTCTGAAAATTACAGAGAGTGATAGGAAGGGATGAAAAGGGGCGGGTTGAGAGAGGAGGGCGAAGAGCAGGGGTGGGAGAGACTTTGACGTCTCTCTGATGTATCGACGCCCATGTATTACATTGCATGTATATACACGCTGCTCTAGTTACGCCAATGAAGTACGCCTGTATGTCGTTTGTGTTAATTACGTGGGAACAGCGCGTATCTCCACTTTCATGTCCGATCTGACGTCCATGATCTATAAATGTTTGTGGCAATCGCTAATAAGTTAATCAACCGAGAGGAGGGGGTGGAGGAGAGATCCGCGAAACGTACGTCTCAAGTCTGTACCCCCGTGAATTATTCGATTACGCAAGACACACAGGTCCCCGACACAGGTCTCGAGTACTTTTATAACTTATTCAGCTACTTTTATATTTTATTCATCCTAACTTACCTCGACGAAATTGTTATAATTACGTTATCGAATTACCGTAATAGCTCTCCTTTAAACGTAACGGTAATGTGAGAAGTAACATGAGAAGCAACAGCACATTTCAATATTTTTATAAATAATCGAGTGTACCGTCGAATCCTTCTTCTTTTTTTTTATCACTGTCTAAAACCCTTCAAAGAGTTAATTTTTCTCCTTTTACCTATTTAGATTAGACTTAGCTTCGGCGTATAAGTGAACGACAAGCCGAGATTTTTATTCAAATAAAATGACGGGACATTTAATTATTACGCGATCACTTTGCTGCGCTACTTTTGTTGTTGGCAATCATCGGCCTGCGCCGCGCACTCGTCCGACCGAGTAGTCTGTGTAGAGTCCCATAATGCGAGCGTAATACTATGCGCGGAGAGCCGAGTGATGAAATAATTATAGATATCGATTTCCATAAAGAAAGTGTATACGGCTCGGCGACGACGAGGGAGAGGACGCGCGTCCGAGGACGACGCATCATCATCCCTCTGCGTTCCGCGCGTTCGGCGTTCGGGTTAACATTGGTGTAGAGAGAAAAAACAAAAAGACTAGGAAAGAAGAAAAACGAGTTACACATCGTCAAACGCGGGAACCCGTCACGATCGTTTTATTGCGGCGTCGCGCGAAATTCGCGTTAAAATCGCGGAGGAGGAGGGAGGGGGCGGGCGGGGGTGTGTGGAAAGGGGGCGGGGGACAGAGCGTCGGGGACACGAGTATCATCGCGTATTATCGCGATATCGCGGAGCGAAGGGGGTGAATGGGGGGAGGGGGAGGAGGAAGGCCGCGAGCTCTCTTTCGATTTAATTGCATTCCGCGGGAAGCGGGCGAGCGAAAAGCCGATACATCGAGACCTCGTTAATTCGCAAAAATCATTCCCGGCCTCGCCGGGGAGATCTTTTTGCGCCGATCGAATTTCACGCAACCGTCGGCCAATCGCCAATCGCCGGTTGGTCGTTCGCCGATCGGACGCGCACCAGGCGAGTGTTTTTTTTTTGCGCTCGAAGTCGAGAGCGCCGAGGACTGCGACAAAAATTGTCGCAGCTCTGACCGCGCCGGCGACTTTTCCTAGACTCATCATCGCCCGGGCCGGCATCGCCTGGCTCATTTAAATTTCGCGACGATGTAAATTTTTAGCGGTTGTATCGCGCGACGTTCCGAAATCCGCGAATTATTCGTCTATTTAAGCCATTGATTTTGCATCACGATCGAAAGAATTACTTCTTGTCCGCGGCTCTCTTTCATGGAACGCGCGCGCGATTTATTTCAGGTATTTCAGGGAAATTGCGAGAATATCGTAAAATAGAAAAGTGGGTCGCAACATTAAAAGGAGCCGCGCTATTATTTATGAACGGAGATTTCGCGACGGAGGCGGGCTATATTTAGCCCGAGCGAATTTACACCCCTTACAACCCCCGGCTCTCGCTCCCCGGGCTTGATGTCTCCATTTTCGTGAGCGGGCGCCACGCGAACGGCGGCGTGCATTCTTTCGAGGCAGGTAGATATATAAGCCGTGGGGGAGTGACTGCGTGTGCAGATAACGAGAGCACACGTTTTCTATCTTCCTCGCATGATCGATCCGATTTTTGCAGCTCAGGCCGTTTAAACGCCATCACCGCGCGCGCAAATTTCCGCCGCGCGCCGCGCCGCGCGGACGATCGAAAACCGGATTTAAATCCCAGCGGCGAAGTCTCGGCGGTTAACAACAACAACGGCAACGATTGCGCGCGAGGAAAGTCGATGTCGTCGTCGAAGCCCCACACGTAAACGTCGCGCCGCGCCGCGCCGTTCCGCCCGTGTGTGTGTGTGTGTGTGTGTGTGTACGTCCCCTCGATCTCACACGCGCGCCTGCGTGCCGCGCGCGCTCACGCACGCGTTTGCGCATCCGCACGCACACACGGATGAGGGGGAGCGCGAGCGCGCACGCGCACACACGCGAAAACGCTAAACGTGCAAGGGGTTGGTCGCGCGTACACGTGTGCGCGCGGGGCAGCAGCGTTATATACAAGTCGGGCACATACATATCGGTCGCCGCTATCGATTATTTTACCCATGTGGAACTCGCCCCTCTCCTCTCTGCCCGTTTCCCTCCCTCACTACCCGCCCGTCCCCCCGCGCGCCACGCGAGCGCCCCACTCGCGGCGTCGCGACGCCTCGTATAGAGCGTGATATCGACGTTACATCGCAGCTCTCACCCCC